AAAGCACTTTCAACACCACGACTGGAACCAAAGTGCTGTACAGAAAAAGATAAGGGGAAAAAAAATAAGAATAATAAGAATAATATAAAAACAAATGAAAAATAATAATAGTAAAATATATAAAAAAATTATAAAAATACATAAATAATAATAGTAACAGCAGAATATGTCATACACAGCTAAAAAACATTGCCAAAAGCTAGAGAAAACAAATGAGTTTTAAGCGAACTCTGAAAAACACCCAAAGTTGGAGAAGTTCTAATAGACAGAGGAAGGGCATTCCAGAGCCTAGGAGCTGCCACAGAGAAAGCACGATCCCCTCTACATTTTAGACGAGATCGCGGAACCATTAGGAGTAGTTGTTCATTTGAGCGCAGAGATCTGCTGGATTGCCAGACACTAATTAAATCAGTAACATAGTCAGGTGATAGACCATGCACAGCCTTATAAACATACAGCAACGCTTTGAAATGAATTCTGTATCGTACAGGTAACCAATGCAGTTTGATTAACGCAGGAGTAATATGCTCTTTCCCCTTTGTACTTGTTAAAAGTCTGGCAGCTGAGTTCTGGACAAGCTGCAAACGAGAGAGAGAGAGCTGATTCAAACCCAGATACAACACATTACAATAGTCCAAACGAGATGACACAAAAGCATGAACAACCTTCTCCATATCTTCAAAAGAGAGGATGGACTTCAGCTTAGATATTGACCTTAGATGGAAAAAGCTATTTTTAACAACAGCATTAATTTGTCGGTCAAATTTGAGCTCAGAGTCAAAGATGACACCAAGGTTTTTTACACAGGACAGTTTCTTCCCAGGAAACTGCCCCAGGCAGTCATAGATATCATTAACATAACCCTTATTACCAAATAAAATCATCTCTGTCTTATCTTCATTCAATTGAAGAAAATTATTTGCCAACCAGCACTTAACCTCTGTCAGACATTGATGCAGAGACTGCAAAGCACATTTATGGTCCTGTTTCAATGGTAAGTAAATTTGTGAATCATCCGCATACAAGTGATAATGAATCCCAAATTTTTCAAAAATAAAACTCAATGGCAACATATACAGAGAAAATAAAATTGGTCCCAGAATAGAGCCCTGAGGAACCCCACAGACAAGAGGAGCAGTAGAAGAAGAGTAATCACCTAAACTGACTGAAAAAGTCCTATCCTTCAGATAAGAAGAGAACCATTTTAAGGCTAAGCCCTGAACACCAACATGATTCTTGAGACGAGCAATAATTATATCGTGATCAACTGTATCGAATGCTGCAGTAAGATCTAACAAAATTAGAACAACACAACTCCCAGAGTCAACATCTCTTAAGATATCAAAACGAATAAACGAATAAACATTAATAAAATAAACAAACAAACAAATGTAAATGTACTATTTATTATTATTATTATTACTATTAAATACATGCATACATAAATAATAAATATTAAGCATAATAAATGTTAGTAATAAAATTATAAATATTATTATAATTGTTATTATTATTATTAAATAAATAAGTAAATACATCTATTAATAAATTCCTAGTTTTCCAGTTGATTTTGATTCTGCTGAATATTCTGTATCACACGATAAAAAGATACATTACAAAAGTTACTTGAATCTTTCATGTTTCTTTTAACACGGAAGGAAGACATTTAGTCCATTTTTTCCAACTGATATACATTTTTATATATACTTTATATACATTGACATGCATTTCTTTCAAATCTCATTTGCACTTGTGTGCAAGATGCATCACGGTACATCAATAACGTCAAACGTCATTGGTTTGTGTGCGTCTCATGCCCAATTAAAGCACAATGATATTCAAGAGCCACAGTGTAAAGGAAGATATTTTTTTCATCACACAAATACGTATGGCTTCCAAAGACTTGCATTATAGTGCAGTAGTCATATGGATGCTTTTATAATGCTCTTGTGGTCTTTCTTTTTTGTTATTTTTGGAGTTTAATGGTCTGAATAGCAGGGGTTTCTTTCACTATATAGAAAATAGCAGCTCAGATATTGTGCAAAACATCTCCACATGGATTTGGTACAACATATGGGTGAGCGAATGATGATGGTTTTCATTTTTGGGTGAACTATCCCTTTAACTTTATTCCTGAATCGTTTTTGAACTCCTCTAGAAGAAAAAAAAGCAAGAAAGAAAAGCACCTGTAAGTATCTGTGCATGTGCCAGGAGGCCTGTTTCCCATCATTGACTGCTTCCACGGTGGTATTGGCCAGACCGGCCACATCGCCCCCAGCGAACACCCACGGCTCACTAGTCTGCATGCTCTCTGGGTCCAGCTCAGGAAGCCCCCATCTGTTTAACCTGATGGGAGCCATGGCCTCTATCACTGCAGAGAGAAAGAGAGAGAGAGAACTGATAAAGAAGAGAGGAAATTCATGAGAGGAAAAAGGTAACATGGAAAAAGACCTGCATAAAAGGAAAAGGAAAAACCTGATAGACTGGAAATGGCAAGAAAATAATACGAAGTCACTGACAAGACAAATGACGAGAGGTTTTTTCCCCCACTGGCGTTTCTTTTTCTTTTTGCGAGGTTAATGTAACATCTCCTGGTGCATTTCATTCACTGTTAGTAACGTTAGCGGGAAGATAGTCTGTCAAACTGATCTACATTCTGAAATGACCACCCCTCCTCTCTCTTGAACACACACCATCCATCTTCTAAAGGCACGGCTGCTCGGCATGGACCACGTCCTACATTTATCAATGAAGGTGTGAAAAACTTGTTGCATCTTTCCCAATAAGACTCATGGCTGTATTAGATCAAATGGGTGCTTCTACTAAATACTGAGCATTTTTCAGTTTTTCTTTTTTAATAAATCTGCAAAGATGTCAACAATTCTGTGTTTTTCTGTCAATATGGGGTGCTGTGTGTACATTAATGAGGAAAAAAAATTAACTTAAATGATTTTAGCAAATGGCTGCAATATAACAAAGAGTGAAAAATTTAAGGGGGTCTGAATACTTTCCGTACCCACTGTATATAAAAACATGTATATAAATACATTAAATAAATGTAAAATACATATATTATATTAAAATGTATAATATAACAAACATTACTGTTTATCAATTTAATAATGATATGATATGATATGATATGATATGATATGATATTATATTATATTATCCACCTCTGTTCGATATGATATGATATGATATGATATGATATGATGTATGATATGATATGATATGAGATGAGATATATGGGGTGCATTTATTTGATCAAAATACATTAAAAGAAAAGGAAAAACCTGATAGACTGGAAATGGCAAGAAAATAATACGAAGTCACTGACAAGACAAATGACGAGAGGTTTTTTCCCCCACTGGCGTTTCTTTTTCTTTTTGCGAGGTTAATGTAACATCTCCTGGTGCATTTCATTCACTGTTAGTAACGTTAGCGGGAAGATAGTCTGTCAAACTGATCTACATTCTGAAATGACCACCCCTCCTCTCTCTTGAACACACACCATCCATCTTCTAAAGGCACGGCTGCTCGGCATGGACCACGTCCTACATTTATCAATGAAGAAAATTCCAAATACAGATCTAAGGACAGGATGCCCAAGATTTATTGCACATTATGAGGATTACTATGGAGGAATGGAACTCTTCTCTCTCCTTATTGAGTAAAAAAGTCAGCTGTATATTGGACAATGTTACTTAATCACAAATGACAGAATATCATCAGCCATGGAAGAATTACATTAACTGACTCACTGTTACATTTTGAAATACATCTATTATTATATTATATTATATTATCCACCTCTGTTCAAGAGTGTAATGTCACATCCATGATGATTTCTGAAGGACCAGAGTTTTGTTTTTTGTGACCCTGGACCATAAAACCAGTCATAAGTAGCACGGGTATATTTGTAGCAATAGCCAAAAATACATTGTAAAAATCATTAGGATATTAAGTAAAGATCATATTAAATAAATGTAAAATACATATATTATATTAAAATGTATAATATAACAAACATTACTGTTTATCAATTTAATAATGATATGATATGATATGATATGATATTATATTATATTATATTATCCACCTCTGTTCAAGAGTGTAATGTCACATCCATGATGATTTCTGAAGGACCAGAGTTTTGTTTTTTGTGACCCTGGACCATAAAACCAGTCATAAGTAGCACGGGTATATTTGTAGCAATAGCCAAAAATACATTGTAAAAATCATTAGGATATTAAGTAAAGATCATGTTCCATGAAGATATTTTGTTAATTTCCTACTGTAAATATATCAATACTTAATTTTTGATTAGTAATGCATTGCTAAGAACTTCTTTTGCACAACTTTAAAGGCGATTTTCTCAATATTTGGATTTTTTTGCACCCTCAGATTCCACATTTTCAAATAGTTGTATCTCAGCCAAATATTGTCCTATCCTAACAAACCATACATCAATGTAAAGCTTATTTATTCAGTTTTCAGATGTGTATAAATGTACAAAAAATTGACCCTTATATGACTGGTTTTGTGGTCCAGGGTCACCTATATAAACAATAGATGCTCTGGTGACTGTGTACACTGTATATCGAAATCATTTACATCCTGTTTTCCATGATATGTCTCCTTCAATAACAGGCAGCAACAAGCATACACAGCAACAATCAGATTTTCAAACACTGAAAGAGAGAATTCTGTATAAACTCCAAACACCAGAGCCTACCCAATACTTCTAAGTAAAAGTAAATTGAGTTTTCCTCTTCCTCCTCATAACTAAGCTTTCGATTTCCTTGCGGGCGATTAAAGAGACCGGCTGAAGGGAAGTGATGTTAAGAACAAAGTTGTAATATCTTCCAGTGGGCTGGCAGGTCAGTTCAAAGACAGAGAGGAAGAGAGATTGGCTTCTACACTTGACACTGTGCCTGTAATCCTGATCGTGAACACTTTTTCTTGCTCTTCTTCTCTATTATTTTTTCCCTTTATCTCCCTCTAATGTCTAGAGTTCTCTGCAATTGTCTAGACCTCTTCAACAGTCTCACTTATCCTATTTCAACACGCACACACACACACACACAGAGACGCTAACAGTGAGTTGTTTTTCTTTCTCTCCTGTCCGCTCTGGAGAGGTAGTAGAGTGTGTCAGGCCTCTCATAGCCCTCAGAGATCATTCTTAAGTAAAGCAGCAACTCTCTCTCGCTCTCTCTCTACCCATGGGCATTCTCCTCACTGACAGATGCAAATTGCAAGGGTCCATTAAGCAGAGGAATCCACACTGGATAAAGGAGAGGATGGGGATTGTGGACCAGCACACTAGGATAGTCATCATTCCATCAGAATGACTTCCCATTGGTCTCTACTGCAATGGCACAAATTTCAGTGTTAGTCATTTGGTTTAACAAACTAAAGGGATTGTTTACAGAAAAATAATATTTCTGTTATTTACTAACCCTCATGTGATTCTAAACCTGTATGCTCTATGCTAACTGTGGAACACAAAAGTAGAATTTTTGAAGAATTGCTGAGCAGCTCTTGACACAATGAGCCAGTCCACTGCGATCAGGGAAATTTATAATTTTATAAAAATTATAATAATGTATTTTTTCCCAGGAGAAGTACATATTTTTTTGATAATTCTAATGAAACTGAAACATTAAAATTACTTTTCTATAAGGTTGTTTCTGATAATATTCTGGCTAATGACCGATATATATATATATATATATGTATATAAAACATGCACAAATTTATGAAATTAAAATAACACATATTTTACACAAAATGTATTCAAATATTTTTTTTATCATACTGGTGCTGATAATCTCAAAATGGTCAAATAAAATAATAATTATTATTATTAATTAAATAAACATTGTTTTTTTATTGTGCTTTTATGTTTTAGAAATTTTTTTTTTTGTCATCTTTAGTGCTTGACAGTCCCATAACATTCATATTTAGACACATTTTGCAAAAAATCTGTTTAAGTTTCTACAAAAGAATTAAAGGGGTCATATGATGCTTTTTTAAAGATAATTATTTTGTTTCCACATAGTGGGGTAGATATGTGGGGGCGTGTTAGAATGAGCCGTTTTAGGGGGGCGTGGCAGAGTCTTAACTTTGATAAAGAATATCTCTTTGGTTTTGAGACTTTAGTCTTTGCAACTTCAGGGATCTTATCTATGCACAATCAGCTTGTAACACTCCAAAGAGAAAGGAAAACTTGAAATCGCATCATATGACCCCTTTAAAGTCATATCAGTCTGGAATGACATGAGGATAAATAATGACAATATTTTCAAGTATCCTCAATCTGTTCTAATTTGCTGGTTTTTAATATAAGAAAATCAATGCATAAAGCCTTGTGTTTGACTGTGTCAAGCTCAAATGCAAGTTGCTGTTCAGTCTTGTGCCAGAGAAAGCAAGCAGCCTCATTACCGCTGATGGAGTGTGATTAATGGAATGCTGATGTTTGAATATTCGGCTGAGCGGGTGGGTGGGGGCGGAGCCTTGGCTGGAGTGACAGGAGCCGGATGCAGAACACTCTATCACAATCCAGCCCCTCTCCCCCACAAAGAGATGGGGAAAAAAGAAAATGGAAAGAAAAAACAGCCAAGTGTGCGAGGGATCAAATCATCTGTTAGCTCCAGTGGGCAGGCCTGCTAGATTACCAGCCAACTTTTCTAGCCATGTCAGCTGTTCTGGTACCAGCCCTCGACGGCCGCGGCCAGACCAATCTGATGAGACACTTGAGTGGGCAAGTAATTCATATTTCCTAAATGAAAGAACACAGATGAAAAAAAACAACCATCCCTCAGCATTTTTTTCAAAACTAAGGGAAGGTACGGTGCGGACAGAACTGTAGCTGTTGCTTGTGTTACAAAACGCAATATCTGCAATGAAGAAGTTCACTATGATGACAAAAAGAGATGAACATGGGCACGCCCGAACAAGACCGTCTGATTCCATTAAACCGAAAGACAGCCGCACACACAAACGCACAACAACCTCATCAAACACAATAACCTCCCTAAAATCTCTTTGCGAAATTACACTTGCTGGCTTTCGGTCAAGTACACTATTTCCTGCTCCTGCTAAGAGGTGATTTGGTGTGCTTTAATTAACCTTGTAGACTAATTGCTAATAATGATAACCCTCTCCTGCTGCGCAGACCTTTCCTGATGTTTAACATGTTCCACAGATGCTGTGAGCAGGTCAGACATCTTACAATAGCGCTAATAAAACTTACGAAACAACCGGAGGTGCTACATTCAAGGTGAGGATAAACAACTTAGATTACATGCAAGAAAATTAAGAAATTATAGAACCAAATATTGAAGTCCATCCAGGTATAATTGCATTGTGGTGATGTTTGCTGAATAAATACATTTAATAATGCTTATTAACCTAAACATAATGACAATCATATGTTTCTTTTTAAATATAATAAATGCAACCATGCTTATATTCTTATTTATTCATCATTAGCCAAAATGTAAAATGCATTTAAACACACAATCATTATAATGTAATATAGCTACTATTTAAAATATAAGCATGAATATTTTACAAAAAACAGCCATGTGTATTTATGTTTGGGCACACTTGACTGGAAAGTTTCTGGTCATGAATGTTTATCTTGATTGATTGCAATTAGTTTTGTAGATATATAAGCAAATTCTGCATAGACATGAAAATATTTTGAAATGAGGCCCAGAAAGTGTTGGAAAAGTTCTGCCAACACAGGAACTCCATCAATACCTTTTTTAAAGCACCCCATTAGGAAATTAAGTTGATTAACGACTAAAAACAAACTGAAACCCAACTGTTTCAACAGTAACAACCGGTATGAGCTTTTAAATAAAATCACATAAAATACATACATACATATACATACACATACAGTACAGATCAAAATGAGAAAATCTATAAATACTTGATTTTTTTCTGAAATATTGTTAATCTTCATTGCTCAAAATTTCAAGGAATATTGGCTGTATAACACTGATGAGAGGCTTGGTCACTGTATATCCTTACCCTGTTCAGCACTGAACTGTTAAGCAATTCCAGCTGCAGTGTTGAACCGATTCCCTATTGAGAGTCTCTTCACTATTCTGGTATCACTATTAAGGCTGGTCTTCTTTTTTACATGGAAGACCAGCCTTTTGGGGGGACTTGAATGAATTAGTGTCATTGCAAACCTACGTGAGCCCAACGGTACTTTCAGTTTCGCTTTGTTTTGGTTTCTTTAGCTTTATATTTTTTTCATTCTTGATCTGTTCTGCATACCGTTACATTTAAATGATTTGTTTTGGAGTGAGGGGAACTAGGCTATGATTATAGTGTTTATAATGTTTATACATTATAATATTTCACTTTATTTGGTATTATTTCTGGTGTTTCTGGTATTATTACACTCTCTCCAAACGTTCCGCTGCTCACAAAAGAGTGGAGAGAGTAGGTTAAGCAGTAGCACCAATCAACGAGAGCGATTTTGAACGCTGATTTTGAAAGCTGATTGGTCAATAATATGTTAAGGACCAATACATAATCTACAAATCATGCTCCAAATACATCTACATAAATCCGCAATCACTCTGTCTCGTATGCACACACGCACTGTCACGATCTAATGCACTTGTTAATACCGGATCTTTAAAAAACAAATACCGGAACGAAAAAATACAATATTTGACATTTTCTGGAACAGGATCCGGCTCAAATTAAGCACTGGTTGCGAGTGTTGAAACATCAGGTTTTAGTTTGAGATAATTTGTGCTGTTACTGCAGGCTGGTCAGTGGGTAAACTTTTAGTGTGGGTGGGATGAATCTCATTATGGTGAATTCATGTCACCTCCAGTCAGCTCTGGACACTACAGGCTCTCTGTGACATTACACCTTGTTTTTTTAATGCAACCCTAATTGAAAATCATAGCGGGTCTGCCCTTTAGCAGCCTGATCTAATTAGTGGACTTCAACATCATGTCAGAAAAAGTTCTGCTCTGTCACCAGCCCTGAACATGTTGTATACTGCAGCCCACCAATAATTAGCAGGTCTGCTGATTACAGTAATTAAATGATTGAATTGTAACAATTTATATTATTAATCAACTGTTAACTCAGTTCATTTAACTACTTGAATGACAAGCTGTAATCACAAGTACCTGACCACGTCCATCAGTACTAGAGAATAGCCAGATGGAAACCCCAAATCAGTTTTTAGTGCAACCGCTTCAGTTGAGTTTACCAGTGGAATTACACTAAATTTTTTTAGAAAAGAATCACAAAACAAGTACAGTAATTAACATCCGTAATAAATGCAGTGCATTTCACACACTGCTCTTGGTCACAGTTCAGGGACTTGGCGAACAGATAATTAAATGGTTGAAATGAAGATGGTGACTCCGACGCTGGTGACTCTCACTCTAATGGACACGCGGGTCTATCTCTTCACCCTGTAATCACGTCACTAAGACCGTCCAGGAATAATTTTGAGTTGTAACTGTGCGGTAATGACTTGCGTTTGCTCCCAGAGGGCTGACTGCAGGAGCTCAATGCTAATCCATTCACACTCTGATTTAAGACAATCTCCATTTGGTAACAGAATAAAACTCGTTCAAAGCCATTCATCACCACACTACCATCAAAGACAAACACATACAATCTAAATACCATTACAACAACACGGCAGTTTAAAAAGTGTTGATGTTTTAAATAAATAAATAAACATACATACATAGAAAAGCTACATTGCGCGATATAAAGGTATATTGTGATATTTAAACAAATTAAGTCACAATTTTGAGATATAATGTTACAATTACTAGAAATAAAGTAAAATGATATATAAATTTGCAATGGTGATATATAAAGTCATAAAGAAAATTTGCAATTGCAAGATATAGTCACATTTATGAGAAATAAAGTAACTATTGTGATATAGTAGTACTAATAAAGCCACCATCACTTTTATTTTTTTTTAATGTGTGGCAGGGGAAAACCCTAATATTTTTTACTTTAATATTTTAATGTAAAGATCTACCATTATGTGTTGATGACTTAAAGAAAATTATTTCATATAAAAATGTACCATATACACATTTTAAAATAATGTACCAGTAATGTTATAATGTAATGTAATAATATCAACATGTCATGTACCATATACAAACTATAATTATATCGGACCAGCAATGTGTTTTGCTGTAATGAGTTTTAATATAAAATTATTTTTTGATTTAGAATAGAATATATTAGAATATATAGAATATATATAATAGTTTTTGTATATACATGTGCATATGATATGGTCAATCTTTAAGCACCAATTGCTGATTTCCAGACCGTCTGTGAAAAAGAGAAAGTATATTAGCGGAGGACTGGGATGCTTGGTCAAATTTATTCTTGTACTCTTCACTACTTCATCAGAGAACACTGGTGCTGCAAGACAGCCAAGCTAATTTGACCTAAATCAAATGAATAAATCCCTGAAACAACACCAATAACATGGGCCTCATCCATTTGAAAATGGCAGCCGTTCAGAGCGCTGATGGGTTTACTTACAGCATAATGAGCCTGAGTCCAACCCACAAACACTGTGCAGAATCACTAAATTTACTGTGAGACATCGGGTCTGTTCCAATACCTAGTGACTATTCCCTACATAGGAAGCATCTTGTATAAAATTAGACCTGGCAAGTAACTGATTACAAATGCTCTGCATATTCTAAACTGTAATTATTCTGGAGAATTCTACTTGAAAAATAATCACATTTTGGAGGAGTTGTGCTCATTTGTAATAAGGAACATAAAATACCTGCCTGGTCGTTCATCAGAGAGCCGAAAGCACTGATGATATAGTCGGCCTTCAGTCGTATGATCTGCTCCTCATCCTCCACCCACTGACCCGACTCTGTTTGCTCGGTTCGGCAGAGCTCCATTCCATGGACCCGGCCTGCCTTCAGCAACACCTCACGTGGAGAGAGGAAGGGCAGGAACTCACATTTCTCCTCCTTGGCCAGCTCCATCTAAACACATCATAAAGACTCCAATTAAGGCCCTAAAGCAAATAGAACTCACATACAAATGCTTCTGTATATAAATGTTTGAATGCAATATCTGAAATGTCCAAGAGGGCAAATTTTACACTATGAAATATGCAATGAAATGAGGTTGTGTGGCGTATTGTTTGGAATGATTATCTTTGCATAATGCTTATGGGTTCACATACAGTACTATTTTTTAAACATGCAGTATGCAGTAAACTAGTATGTACTTAGCCTAGCCTAACCTATGGTGAATTTCTCTTTCAGGTCAACCAATAATGTCATGCTGGAGCAACAGTTTGAAGAGAATGTTACTAAGCAAATTAGTTAAACTTAGTTAGCTGTTGACGTGTTAATTACTAGCTAACCGAATAGCAACACACATAATAGTACAGGCATTTGAAAGCATCTTAATCGCCCCTTTAGTACTCAGAAATGCACATTTAAAGTGTGCTGGTCAAACAAAATCAAATCAAATCAAATAATTGCTTTAAATAAAAGTATTTATTTCAATAATAAATAAAGATATTTGAAGGTAACTTAACCACACATTTAGTACTGAGAAATGCACACTTACAGTGCATTGGCCAAACATTTGCATCTTATATATTCTTATTCCTATATATATTCTTGTATAATACTGTTCAAAAGTTTGGGATCGGTAGGAATGTTTAATGTTTTTGAATATAAGAAGTAATCAAAAATACAGTAAAAACAGCTTTTACTCCAGACTTCAGTGCCACATGATCCTTCAGAAATCATTCTAATATGATGATTTGGTAATTTTTTTTAAAAGTGTACTTGAATGCATAGTTCACAAAAAAGACACACTCTAAATGTGCAAAAAAGAAAATTCTTTCATTGTTACTCAACATCATGTCTTTCCTATCTAGCATGACCTCTTTTCACCTGCTGAACACAGAAGAGGATATTTTCAAGCCAACAGGGTCAAAAACAAAAATATTATACACTACTGACTTGCATTGTAAGGATTAAAAAAAAAAGGAAGCCATTTTTCTTGCACAGAAGAAAGAAAGGTTTGGAATACAGGTTTGGAACAACAAAACGGAGAGTAAATGAAGACAGTATTTTCATTTTTGGGTGAACTATTCCTCTAAGTATGTTTCTATTCTTAAAACTGAACAAGTGTGAAGTTAGTGCACATAACAACAACCAGCAAAGGTCACGTCTTTTATCCAGCCATGAGATAATGAAGCAAGTGATTATGGGAGCGTTGTACCTCGTTAAAAAACATCAAGTGCGACTCGGCTTGGTGGAAGTACATCAGAAAGTTTACAGAAGATTTTCTCTCAAAAAAGAAAAAACAGATGAAAAGTGCGGTTTAATCAACTAAAAGAAGCCCACTGGCTTTGCGGAGGGGGCCGGTGGGAGGAATGTAGTCGTGCGGTGACAATTCTATTTTCTTATTACTACGTTTCCATAAATTGTCTCAGTTCACGTCAATGCACAATCGAGCGCTCTGTTCTGATTATGTGCGCCTACAGGAGTCTTAAACTTAATATAGCTTATAAACAGCTTTAATGAGTTGAAGATGATGGCGGCCGTATTAGGCGAGCGTCTTCACTGGAGAGTGTAAACAGATGTGAATAATTACTGCACTTTACCGTACTTTATCCTAATGTGGTGGGAGATGTGAAGAACAATGTGTGAATCAGACTTAAAGGAGAAGTGTGTAATTTTTCCTGCATTAAAATTGTTTCTATTTTCACTTTAATGCACAGAGACAACTATAAGTGAGACTTGAATAGTGCAAACATTGTGGCTCTGTGTCACTTTGCTCCGGCTCAACCAATGGCGTGAGTCTGTGGGCGGGACAACTTGTTCGGAAAGCCTTTTTTTTTTATTATTCTTAAATTATCAAGAACTATACAGTTGCATACTGGCATTGCATTTTGTACTTTTGTGCACTTCAAAAATAATACTAATAATAAAAAGTGCAACTTTCAGGGCCAGTACTGTCCTAGCTGTCTCTAAAACATAATGGTGAAAAAAATAAGTTCCCTCAGTACATCTGACGCACATATTTCACAGCTTTGTCTAAATGGAGCTGATCATGACACGTTTAGCCGGCTGGCATCATTACCAGAGTGGAAGCGGGTATATAGCTCACCAGAGAGCCCTGTGTGTGAGTAGGACAATTGACAGTAATCTCCCCCTGAAAGCAAAGGCAAGTCTGCAATAAATGAGAGTGGAAAGGCTTAGGAGCAGTGTCAGTGGTCTAGAGAGAGAGGACACTCTCACAGAGCTCTTCATAAATCTCTGCTTCACACTTCTCTCACACCAAATATTAATAAGCTTCACTCTGCTGCCTGATGTTGATGCTCTTTCTCTCACTTCCTGACTTTCTGCCTTCTTGGTCTTCTCTTACTTGTGATCTTTTTTTCTCTAGTCCTAGAAGAAAAAAATGAATTAAAAACAAACTTTAAATTTAAAGGTTTCACTCAGAACTCCACAAAATACTTTCTAAAAAACAAAAAAAAACAAAAAAAACAGTTTTATAGTTTCTATGCAAGTTAAAAGAAAAACTATATTCCAAGCATTCTTTGAAAAGTGATGCTTCATCCCACTTGTTCAATTGAAATTGATTATTTTCTTTATGTCTAGGGCCCTAGAGACTCGCATGCATGTAAATAATAGTAATTTTGAAATTAACATTTTGAAATTTGTAATATTTAATATGTGATATATAATATTTGTAAATAAATAATACATTTCTAATACCGTAATAAAACAGTGGTTCAAAAAATATCTGGATATTTAAGTTTAATTTAATATATCAAATGTATTGCAAAGATCAGGGGTTTTCAAACTGTGGACACAAAAAGTCTGTGAAAAAGTTCAAAGTAAAAACTGATCAGAAACAAAACTAAATGAAAAGAAACAAAACAAAACAAAAAAACTAAACAATTTTCTAACTTTGGTCACACAGTCAGTCTGCGGAAAAGTTTAAAGAAAAATTTATCAAAACAAAAAATAAACAAAACACAAAAACCCAAAACAAAACAAGAAAGCAGATTTAGTTTTTCAAAACTGTGGTCACACAGAAAGCCTTTGGGAAAGTTACAAGTAAAAACTGATCAAAAACAAAAAGAACACGAAACAAAACAAACAATTTTCAAACTTTGGTCACACAGTCAGTCTGTGGAAAAGTTAAAAGAAAAATTGGTCAAAACAAAAAATAAATAAACAAAATCCAAAACAAAACAAGAAAAACTGTACGGCTTTGGGAAAGTTAAAAGAAAAACTGGTCAAAAACAAAAGTAAACAAAACTAAATAAAAAAGTTCACTTATTTATTATGGAAATATACAGTAGAATAATAAAGATTTTTTTAGGAAGGGAGATCATCATATTTGCTACAAGCATATATTTAGTCTTCTTTTTGATACTATCTCACTTTCCTTCTATTTCTGAGTCCTTACCTCCTCAGGAACTGCTCGTATGTTGGTGAATCCCTTCCTGAAGACCACAAACACACGGCGGGTGCCGCAGCGCAGGGCAGAAGTAGCGCAGTCAAAGGCCGTGTCTCCAGCGCCCAGAACGATCACAGTACCACAGAGCTCCGGCAGCGCTGAGCGACAGCCACACATCCCTGAAAACCAAAGAAAGAGAAAAAAACATGAATTCTGCCTATAGAACAATTCTCACTCAACGGCTCAGCAGATGCTTGTTCGCAAAGCGCTGTAAAATTGCATCTCGGAGCCTCACAGCACGTCACTATCAAATTATTCTGCTTCCACGAGAGCCTGATTCACCTCATCTTTCTGTCTTTGTTTTTTTATGATTTCATATTTTTCCGGAAATGTCCTTGTATCAGTAATTTCATACTTCACACCTGTCGTGGTACTGCTTTTATTTTTAGATGCAATAAGGGTGGCTGCACCTATATTGAACGCAATGATTTCAGCATTTCTTGACACTATTTACTTTCTTACATAAAAATAGCAAACATAAATATAATAATAATAATTGTGCAGTCGAATAATACTTATATATATATATATATGTATGGATGTATGTATGTATATATATAAAATTTGTTATTAAATGCTACTGTGTACATATATAATATAAAATTACAATACCGTATTACAAAAGCATTTTAATAAATTAAACAATAATAATAAGTAACTTTTAGATATAAATTTATATATATTATTTTTCTAATTTTATTATCATTATTATTTTCAAAATCTTTCATAATATTTCTTGTGAGTAAATGCAATGCCATTTTTAACCTTTTACAGTTTAGGCTGTATTTGGCTGTAATGTCATGTGTAAAAACAATTTTACCACAAGCTTTTTTTTTTAAAGCTCTGCAGCATTTTGTCTGAAATGCTTGTGAAGATTCAGATGTTCCTATTTCTTTAAATCCTTGGCCAACTGCCTTAATGCAGCGAGTTGCAGTAAGAGGCAGAACGGCACATTGGATTAAGATTTATTCATCACTGAGGTTTTATTCATTCAATCAAGTTCTTTTCCCAAAATTTCCATTTTCATTTGATTCTGATGCCAATATTGTGAGTGTAAACCCCCATTAATCTGGGGAGCAGGAACAAAAACTTCTCATCTTCCTTTCTGTTCTTTTCAATTATTCAGATACACCTTCAGAAATAGCAATTACATGTGGAATGGCAAACTATACCATGCACCATTTCCGGTCACCACTCCTTCTTCAAAGTATGCCAAAGAATAAGTATATAAGTAAAAATATCATGCCAATATCCAGAACAATGATTACTGCTCATAATTATGAAAGTTTATAATTACAATATAATCCATAATGGTACTGAATAATTACTATATTCATGGTACTTGAAGGCATTTCAAAGAGCACATATCCAAAAAACTTGATAACAACAACAACAAAAACTATTGGTACTTTTTTGTTAGCAAAGAATCTTAGAGTAAACATAGTTAAAAGAAACTGGACTCAGGCGACCCTTATATGTAGTGCTTCAGGAACACTTTAAATCATCAGGTGTGACTTTGTGACAGACTTTTCAAGATTGTTCACCTGGTTTACTGGCTTTCGTGACGAGAGGAAGAAAGTCCTTCGACGTGTAAAAACCCTGTTCTGTTGAGAGGCCATCAAAGAGCTTGTGTCTGTTAGCTTGAGGTAGACCTGCAACAAAACAGACAGACATGAGCAAAAAATCCAGTTAAAAAATGAATAAAAAATTCCACAATAAACGTGGACCTTATTTACTTTAAGACATGATCCTAGTGTTACTATGCACAATTCATCAGTGCAAATGTTTTTCATCATATATATATATATATATATATATATAACACACAGAAATCCATTTCTATATATCATATGTATAACAAATCACAATAATAGGTATCTGAGGTAATGAGGTGAAATCTCACATCCGCAGATACGCATTCCAATTTCCATTTCCTCCCTATGTTGACTTCTTCCTGCCTCTAATGTCTATTGTGTATCAGCTGCCCTTCCGAATGTTTGCCACTGTTTAGTGTCATTAACATCATTACACATAATCACACATAATGTAATTTTGGTGTTTTCAGTGGGAGCGATGTTTAGACATTAGCGTCAGGCCTCCGATGCCTCAAAACCCACAATTATCATCCATTCTAAAGAAGCCTGGACAAAGTGTTTTCTGAAAATCTTCTGTGCGTAATATCTAAATCGGGACGCGCAAGCGTGATTTTGTTGTTTTGTTGCGGTTTAACTGCAGTGAACGCTGCGCACCGTCCAAGGCACGATGGCGTCTTAATAAGATAAAATATTCTTTGGCAGAGATCAGAGCATTTGCGAGAACTGTAACGTGAGAAGTTCGCGAGATCCACTGTGACTGAGATGGAAAGCAGAAGACAGTGGTAATGAGGCACTAAGTGATTGAGAGATGGAAGACTGGGGTGTTGCTGTCAGAACCAATCAGCTGCATACAGTCAAAATGATTGCAAGGAAATGCATTACAACATGCATCAACACCTTCGTTTGCTCAATTCAAACAAGCCTTTAGTAAACGCATGGATCCTTTTTACACCCTTAGAAAATATCACGTGAAAATACGAAAAGCAGAAAATACAGTTGCTGAGATTTTAACAGCATTCTGTGGTGTATCATCCAGGTATCCGACAGAACCTCTCCACCCACCGTTCTCAGATTCATCCGCTCTGTCTGGCTTAAAAAGGCAAGGGCAGAGAGGTGAAAGCACACAGCATGATTTAAAAAGTTTAACTCGTTATTAATGAAACCGGTCATTAAATCATACAATAATTAGACGCCCACCTCTCATCAGACACATCTCCAGAAGTTGTCAATAACACGGCAATTACCACGTTTTTAAAGTTAACCTTCACCAAACAAGCCAGCGTGGGGCCTGCGAATAAATGATAGCTCACCAATAATCAGTGCGTCTTCCTTCGAGCCGTGTTCGAATTGCTGATTCTGTTTGACAGAGCAGTCTTCCGGCTGTCTTCTATATTTCAGTTGGATTTCATTTTACAAGATGTTTATATGAAACACTTTATGTGACGGCAACCTACTGCATGCAGGTCTTCTAAGTGCCCTCCAGTGGTTGTATAGCACCGAAAAGAGGCTGTGTGTTTCTGATTTTACCTAGTTAAGAAGTATTTTTAAAACACAATCAAAAGCATGGCATGCAAACAGTCCCTTAACTGTGGCAAAATCACTGCAATACGACAAAAACAGCTATATTCAATAAAATAAATAAATGTCTTATTAAAAAAATCTAATAATAATAAAAAATGTAAAAACAAATTTAAAAACAAAATATCATATTGAATTAATATTTTATTTTATTAAAAATAGACAAATTATATTTAAAATAAATGGTAACACTTTAGTTTAGGGACTAATTCTCACTATTTAATAACTAGTTACTTATTAACATGCAAATTACTAGCATACCGGCTGTTTATTAGTACTTATAATGCATATCTTAATGCCTTATTCTGCTTAACCATATTTTAGATCCCTTAATTCTACCCCATACCTAAACTTAACAACTACCTTAATAACTATTAAAAAGCAGCAAATTAGGAGTTTATTGAGGGAAAAGTCATATTTGAACCTTAAACTGCATAAACACATTTCATTACACCAAATACACACAAAAATGTTCTTTTTAGCAGCATCATATGACCCCTTTAATAGATAGTCAATAGTGAGAATTGGTTCCCAAACTAAAGTGTGACCAAATAAATCGTTATATCATACAGTATTTTATCTAACTACCCATAAACCATCCATCCATCTATCTTACATGGTCAAAATATTTCAAATAAATGCAGCCTTGGTGAGTATAAGCGACTTCTTCTAAAAAAACAGAAACCAAAAAAATATATGATTCCAAACTGCCAGTGCATATACAGTACATACACGACATGCAAATGTAAATTATATACATGTATATTCAAATATTCAAATGCAGCCAATCCAGTCAGATTTTAGAGTCTTTAATAAAATGTTTGAATTTTAAAACAAAACTTAGAATTTTAAAGTCTTCAATAGTTCTTTCTTTTACTGTATATTTAAATAATGAATTGCAATATTATATGTGATTGTGTGCGTATAAACTAGTGCTGTCAATAAATTCAAATTTTTAATCAGATTACTCATACCCTTTTCTTACAAAACTGCATTTTCTGCAAACTTATGTCTTCTCAAAAAAGGACACTTGGAGACTCCAAAAGGACACCAAAGAACCAAGTGACATACGTTCATATACATTTATGCACACCAAATCACACACACACAAAAATTATTTTATATAAAAAAAAAAAAAGAAATCTATCATGCATGCTTACTGTACAACTCCTGTAGCCAACATTACTGCAATTCTCATCCATCAAATCTTTCCTAGCGAGAAGCTGGTTTGCTTTATCCAGCCTAGAAAACATAGTTTGTGTATCATACAGTGGTGGGATGTTTTGACGTTTCGTTCAGTCTGTATTTCACACAGAGTGATGAGCGAGTGAGCTCTCGCGCTTTTCAAAAACAATTGCAGTATATTACAGAGCTTGTTTTATAGTGAAACAAACACAATGGAATGAATAATTAACTAAAAAAACACAACGCAAGTCTATTCTCTCCACCATCTCTGATGTAATCGGCCTGGTTTTCTTTACATTAGCGATGTTTTGGACTGATTGTTTGAATGCATTCGCTTACTGGACCATTGGACTGAAAACTTTCCCATAGTTTAGCAGTGTAAGATGATATGATCGACTTTTGCGTTAATTGTGTTAAATTATTTTAACGCTTTAAGGATTTTTGAATTAATTGCATGCGTTAGCACATTAATGTTGACAGCCCTATACATATACTGTATATACACATACTTCACATCAAATATCCCCATGATGAAGGTGTAGTATCGCACATTAGACTTGGTGCAAATCACCAGTGATTCTCATTAGGGGATGTCGAACACATAATGTTGAAAGCAGCTAAATGGCTTTAATGATATCCTGATGATATTCTGGCATTTCCACCAACTAAATCTGTCAAGGTGTCATGCCTAATGAATAACATAAAAATCGCAGACTTTTAAAATTGCACATAGACTTCCAAAACTGCAGACATGTGCCTGAGCAGGTACTTGAGTCTCGTTAGTACGAATGTCAGTCAATAATTATAAAAAGCTGCTTTTATGTGTTTGAGGGGTTTGAAAAGGCTGTCCTTAATCTATGCGTTTGAGTACTCATGTGTAGCCTAATTAAAACAGGAGTTTAGTGAGCCAAAAATTAAGAAAACATAAAAATAACCAGTGGCGTAGTTGGTACAAACCAATATTTGTATATTTCTTAATAAACATTACCAAGGCTTTATAATACAGTTTATGTTCAGTGTTAATTTATTACAAATAATGTGTTTTGTGTTACATTTTACAAATAACATTCCCCAAGACTGTTCAGGAAACATATCCACTTAACACCTGTCATCCCAATCACCTGATCATCAGCAAAAATACAAAAGGACGTTCAGGAAGAACGGGAAACTTTGCGGTATGGCGTGACATAGTGGGTTTTAACAAAAGCGCCAGGGTTTGTGACAGCCCTCTTTGTAAGTAATGCATCTCCATTTGTCTCCTGCTGCATCACATTTTCTTCAGCAACGAGCTTCAGTACGGTACGCTCGCAGCTAAGACCCTTTTCACCTTGCAAAATCAAAAATAATACATCACCCAGAGAGCAGAACCCCTCTCGTTAATCAGGGCTTATCTATGGGCATCTTTTGAGAAGAGGGGCGACAGTGGCAGGAGGCCCTTTCTCGGCAGTCCCTGACCTCTCTGACTCTTATGAATTGCATAACGGTGAAGAAAAAACAAGGGTGAAGAGTTAAACTAGATTTTCACATTTTATGAAGAAAAAATGCTTGCTGCCGCAATGTTAGGGTATCGTGGTCTATAGATATGGCTCAAGTATACCTTCTTCATGAAAGACTTCTTCTGTGGGATTAATTCATCCGTTTAATCGTCCACCACCCAAAAATTGAAGGTAATATGTATCCATAGCACAAATAGTATGCTATAGTAATATCGAGGCTCGCCATACTACAGTTCAGTACGTAAAGATGTTACATAACCTCACAGATTATAAATTCCCTCTATATAGGTGTTAATTAACGTTGCTGCCAGTGACAATGGAACATTCCGCAAGAACAATTCCAATCTGTTTCCATTTTTGTAGCAGCACATATTCAGTGTCAGAATGCGTAATGGATTTAAAAAGAGCCAGATTCTTGACATCTTGGGTGGTATTTTAGAAGCATACACAAATGATGGGTCATTTTTACAGTGTAATAATATAACCTCATATTGACTAGCATCCAACGATCTCTGCCGCCAACTCGTAGCAACTATTGATTGCGGAGCTTTTAAAAACTTCAAGTATTCTCCAGAAACGTCTCATCTCAGTGCTGAGTATACATCTTTTAATCAAGTCCTTGCATTTATTGATCGCTACACCTTTTAATAATATATATACCAACTTTGAGTAATATTTTGTGGTTGTTACTAATATTCCACTGCTTTTAGGGCATTATGGGCACATTATATCATTAATGGACCATGTTATTTACTGTACAGTGTTTCATTCTTGTTATCATAAAAGTGAGAATGAAATCAAAAGGGACATCAGAAAATCAGACAGGGAGATCGCAGACCCCATCACTTCATGGCAGTTAAGGTGTTAATTCACTCTTTAAAGCCATTGAACCCAAGCCACTGACTCCTGAGCCTATAGCCTAGAAACAATGCTCTTATCTGACTTCCTCAACCTGGCTTCCACTTTGCATATTTTTGCATACTGCCAAGGAGAAATTAGCATGTCAATCATGTGAGTGGATGACATTTAAAAAGACCGTAAAGGACTCGTGTGAAATTACAGAAATTAATTGCAAACACTCAGCGCTTTCATTTTCTCCCACAGTCGAAATTTCTTTACATCCCTTTGTAGAGAAATCCAAAAATGCTCTACGTAAAAGACTCATAATTAGGATGCCAGCATTAAGAGACTCAGCGTTTCGAAACAATGAATTATACTAATTCTTTTTCTCATTGTGTCGGTACAATAAGACAGTCACATGGACAGCTTTAGGCAATGTTTAAATTCCTAAGATCAATGCAGGGGCCACGTAATCACAGTTTAATTTCTTTCTATATAAAGTTATATTATTCTAGTAATAAGATTATTTTAGTTCAGCAGATATAAGTTTCTTAGGTTAGGAGTCATAATTAGAAATGCTTTACAATGTAAAGAAGAACCTCTTTGATTAATTTTAATAAGCAACAAGGGATTGTAGAACGTACATATCCAGAAGATATAATCTTCAAGAATACATTTATTTGTTCCTTGGCTTTAGGGAAAAAAAGGAAGGAAAAAATAATAGTGATGAGACTGCACACAGCCACACAGTTTGAAAATAAAAATCAAAGCTCCTCACTGCCAGCGCCAATATGATAATCATTATTTGATTCTAATAGCAAAAGGTCACATCTTATATAATCCGCTGATACTGATAACAGTCAGTAAACACAATGAGAGAGAAAGGAAAATAGAGAGTAATAAGAAAGGAAGATACAAACAAAAGGGAAGCAAAGAAAGAACAAACAAATGAGGAAAAATAAGGAAAAAGTGGTAAGGAATGTAAGGAAGGAAGAAATAAACATTAGGATGGACAAAACAGATGAAAGACAAAAGTAGGAAGGAAGGAAGGAAGGACAGAAGGAAGGAAGGAAAATAATGATGAAGAAAAAAATAAAAGGAGGAAATCAAAGAGGAAAGGAAAGGAAATTAAGAAACAGGAAGGAAGGGTTAAACAAACAGTTAAAATGGAAAAAAGAATGAATGAATGAATGAAAATCAAGGTGAAGAACAAATAAACGAAAGAAGAAAAGAAAAGAAAGAGCAGTAACAAATGAAACAAGGGAAAGAAAGAAAAAAAGAGAAGAGTTGTTCCTATTGTTCGAGCAGGATTGAGTCCAGGGAGTCAGATGACACAAGAAGATGCTCAGGAGCACTGAGGGTCAACATGTAGTGGCAGTGAATAGCTCAGCTGGAAGAGAACAGGGCAGAGGGACCTGATGAGAAACCAGGGTGTCCTCCATTGAGAAGCAGTGGGCAGCCCGACCATGCACTGTTAGGTTAGCATGGCAAAAAACAGCAGCAGCTCAAGGAGTCGGGCGGAAAATGAGATGTGAATGGGGTTACCGGTAGAGGGGGAGAAATTGTCAAGTGGATCATCCACAGCCATTAACACAGACAGGGAGCCAGGGAGCTGCCAGTGATTCGGAGAAAAAGAGTCTTTCTCCATCTTTTCTTAGTACATGCTTGTCTGTCCACATAATAGACAACAAAACAATGTGTGAAAATGCATATAAACTGACCGATTCCAATGAACACAGCTTTGTATCCCTCCTCCTTCAGCGAGAGAAGCGTCATTCCATCTCGGCCGAGTCCTCGGTCACAGACAATCTGAAATAGAGTTCAAACAAGCCATATCAATAGAAGCAAGACCACAGAAATGCTCCATGAAAGACCAGAAGCTCATCTGAAGGCATGTAAAACGGGGTCTGTTTGAGATTGCAGGAGGGCATCTCTGAATTCATCATATGGCAGCGGAAAAAGCGGCTGGCAAAGTCTCTGACTGCCGGAAAAAAAAAAAACAAGAAAGAAAGAAGCAACAAAACAAACAAGAATGAAAGAAAGAAGCTTATTTGAAGGTCTGTAAAATCATGTCTGTAAGAGGTCTCAGGAGGGCGTCTCTGAATCCTTCTTATGTCAGTGGAAAAACAGGAAAAGCCTATCTAAAAGAAGGCAAGGAAAGTAAAGGAAAGGACGTAAAATAAGGGAGAGGAGAGAAAAGAAGAGAAAAAAGAAAAGAAAAGAGCAGAGCAGAGGAAAGAAGGAAGCAAGTCTTGTTTGAGGTCTCAGGAAGGCATCTCTGAATCCTTCTTATGTCAGTGGATAAACAGGAAAGGCCTAAAGAAAGGCACAGGTAAAGGAAGAAAAATAAAGGACAAAAGAAAAAAAAGAAAAGAAAAGCAGAGTGGAAGTAAGGAAGGAAGAAAAAAGAAAAAAAGAAAGAAAGAAAGGGAGCAAGGAAGGAAGGAAGGAAGTTTTGTTTGAGGTCATAGGAAGGCATCTCTGAATTCTTTTTAGAAAAAAAAACTGCAAAAATTAAGAAAAGAAAGTAAAAGAAATGGAAGGGAAGGTCAGTAAAATAAAGGAAAAGAATAAGAAAAAGAAAAGGAAAGATGGAAGGAAGGAAGGAAGGAAGGAAGGAAGAACGTAAAAGAAGGAAGGATAGATGGCGGGAAGTTAGAAAGGAAGAACGAAAGGAAAGAAGGACGGATGGACAGACTGATGGATAGACGGAAGGAAGGAAAAAAGGAAGGAAGTAAGGAAAGAATCATGTCTGTTTGAGCTTTTATGTTGGCATCTTCAAATCTTTCTTGTGTATACAAGAAAAAATCCAAAAAAAGTCAAGAGAAGCCAGTCGCAAAGAAAAGACGAAAGGAAGGAAGAAAGGAAAAGATGGGAGAAAGGAAAGGACAAGTTAAGAAGGACGCAAAGAAGGATTAAAAGAAAAAAAACAAAGAAGCTCAGTTGAAGGCCTGTAAAACCGTGTCTGTTTCACAGGAGGGCGTATCTGAATACTTCTTGTGTCAGCAAGAAAAGACGTTGGAAAAGTGTCTGTCCTCCTCCAGAGCCTTACATCCACTCCCGCTCTCCCTGAGTCTGTTTATAGGTACTGAGGGAACATGCAAATCTGTCATCTCACCCCCCTCCCAATCATCCTCAGCTCTTCACGAACTGCGGAAAAAAGCATTTCCTGTGTAAAATGAATCCTGAGCAGGTGTGCCGGATGACGACTATTGATTGCCCTTTCCCGTAGCTGAAGCATTCAGGAAACAAACAGACAAGCGCGTGCAGCCCCGAGGTGCTCGGCTGCCGCTGTCTGCCACCCCTAATGCAACTTTTAATTGTTCTTTATTAATGCGGCTGACATTTGGACCGCTGATCCTCCCTGAGACCTCTCGCCCTTCCCGGCTTCAAAAGGGGCAGGTGTGAGTGCATGGTGGCACGGAGGAGGGGTAGGATAGGGAGGTGTGATGGCTTTCATTACCTTCACTCCCAGGTCTTTCATCAAATCCACCTCGAACTGAACCACTTCATACGGCAAGCGGAATTGCGGGATCTCGGAAGAGCTGGAAATCAAGAGAGGAAAAATGAAATGAGAAGAAAAGGAAGGGAGATAAAGAGTCCCTCAGAGAGTTAGGAAATGGAAACGGAAAAATTCCGTCGTATGATAAGGATTGTTCTATCCCTGGAATTCTTTCTTATGTTATAGGTCCTTTAGTCTTCAACTGCGCCAGTCTAAATGCCAACACAACCCCAGAGTCTTGTTTCTACTAACGGAGACTGCTGGGATTTGAGTTGCATTGGATATTCAAGACCCCCCATATGCAATCGACATGCTGGTTAAACTAAACAGCAGTGGAGATACAACAGCACGTAATTGATAACCTCATCCCAACTCGGCATTTGAAAGATGAATATTCCCAATTACAGAGACCATTCATTAATTATTCTGACCTTCTACAATGTGCCCCATATTGATTGTGGCTGGCCAGATCAACAATGCCCTTTAGTGGACCATCTTAGATACAGGATGAGAATTCTGAGTATGAACCATGGGTCAGATTAATTACAGACCTCAGTCCTCCAATGAACCTCTTCTTCTCGAAAATTGTGATGTCGTCGTACCCCAAGCGGGCCAGGAAAGAGGCGCAGCTGATGCTGGCGGGGCCGCAGCCGATCAGAGCTATTTTAGTGTGATAGCTCTCAGGAATCTGATGTGGAGGCGGGAGATCGGGATTCCGTATCTGAGGAACTCCCATTTGTTTGAACACCTGCAAACACACCAGAAGAAAGGCAATGCATGTTCATAATTGTACCTTCATTGGGAAATTGGAGATAATTTTATGGTTCTGATTGACTGTCACAACCTTCAGAAAACTTGCAAGATTCAAGATGACAAATTTGATGTAAGGACCAGTTCAAACTAGCTAGCATGAATTTCTGCCTGGTTAATGCTGGTTAGTTCAGGTTTGGTGCCAATATAGTTGGTGGAAACCATAAAGTCTAACTGATGAAGTTGGACTTTCTGTATAGACTTTCTTGTGAACCCAGATCTATCTATCCATCAATGAATCCATCCATCCATCCATCATTAGCCTATCTACCTATTGATCCACCTACCTATCCATTAGGGCTGTGCGATATTGAAGAAAAATGCGATATGCGATAACTCATTAAATAATGCGATATTCGATATGCGATACGATAATGCTTAGCTACAAAAGTTATTTAGGTAAGAGCAGTGAGTGATTTTCTCTTTGTCTTTTGTTCATGGCCCCAAATATTGCAAGCCGTAGCGATATGCATATTGCGATATGTACATTTGCGATATTTCGATAATTTCGATGTATTGCACAGCCCTACTATCCATCCATTAACCTATCCACTACTTTCAATATATCTATCTATTCATCCATCCGTCCATCCATCTATCAACCTATCTATCCACACTGAAAAAAAAGATTTTGTGGTGTTGTAAAATATATTAAATGAATCATCATAAATTTTACTTGTAATATTAAAAATCAAGAAGATCAACAATTTTCTAAGTAAACTGTACACATTTAATTCATGTAATTAATGAACTGCATGAGAAGAGTAACTCTTATTAATATTTACTTGTAATATTTATATGTTTTATAGTCATTGCACATAAATCTAGAAATATTAAGATATAATAAAATCTACTTATTTACTTCAATAAATAGTAGGATTTACTTAATATTTTTATAAATGCAAGGTTCCGGTCTATAAAATAATAAATAAACTTTACTTAATTGCTTTAAATAAACACTTTTAAATTAAATATAATTACGTAATATTTACTTAATTAGGGTGCAATTAGACTTAATTTCTTCATGAATGTTAAGTTTAGTAAGTAGATTTGACTTAATAATAGTGAGTAAGTTGTACTTGATATTAGAGCAGTAAAATTTACTTAAAATGTGTTCGTGCAATTTGTTACCAACATTTTTTAAAGTAAATCTTAATAGTTATTTTTTTCAGTGCACCTACCTATCCATCAACCTATCCACCTGTCCATCCATCCATCCATTAACCTATCACCTATCTATCCATCCATCCATCCACCTACCCATCAATCTATCTACCTACCCACCTATCTATCCATCCATCCATCCATCCATCCACCTATCTACCTATCCACCTACCTATCCATCCATCTGTCTATTATTTATCCATTGATCCACCTATCTACCTATCAATCTATCTACCCACCTATCAATCTATCTACCCACCTATCTGCCCACCTATCCATCTATCTATCCATCCATCCGTCCATCATTCTGTCATTCTAGCCATTATTCGATGAAGCTGGTCAAAGATGGTCTTTATGGTGAAGCTCAATGAACAAGTTTTGCTGTTTAATCTAGTTGTAAAGTCTGGTGGGAATACTAGACCATCAGGACCCCAAGCATCATGCTGGTGACCAGCTTTGCTGGTACAGACACCACTCTCACATTCAGAGGCCAAAAGTGATATTGTCTCTATTGAGAAACTGTCTTTGAAACACAACAAGCCTTGAGAGCCTGCCTGGATGCAGAGTCTAACATGCTCTTAATTTGCCTGATGAGAAAAAAAACATGACACACATGAATACATAAACCATGCAGAAATTTGATTCATCACTTCACTATTAAAAGCCAAAGCAAAAGCCCACTCAGAGGCGCTAAGACAAAAGCGACAAAGAACTCATTCAGCTCCTAAGAACAGGACCCAAATGAGAAGACAAAGAAAAAGGAATTACTGAAACTCATTCATTGCGCCAGAGTTCTTAACGCAGATGAAGACATCAACATAAAGATAGTTAGCAGATACATAAAAAACACAGCAAGTTATCCAAACAGGCATTAATGAGGAGCCTGTGGCGGTATATCCATTACAAGTAGTAAAATAGGAGGGCTGATGCTTTGTCTTTCTAATAAGATTAGCCAGATCCATATGTAAAAGCCTGCATTGTTAATACAATATTATGCCTGAACAGGCAACAATATAGGTGATATTAATATAGTTATTCATGAGTTTCATGGACTGTGAAGACCAAATTGCTACATGACAATGCATTTTTAATAATCCCTGAGAGCAGTTTATAGACTCTTCTATTACTGCAGTTTCAATGAAACAAACAATGCGGCAGTTCAAAGCACAATCTCATCTCTTGACAGATCAGTATGGCTACATGTGAACGATGGACTACACCTGAAAAGCCATGTGGCAGAGGGCCAAAAATCACGGAGGTAAAAGGTACCTGGGGATACTTTAGTCCCACAGACATGCAAACAACCTCTTCTGAACAAGACGTTGGCTGTATTAAATGACATAATGCTAAAGTGATAATTACATTACATATATTTTAAAATTACATTTTAAAATATATTCTTCTAAATTGTAAATTGTTATTGTAAATATCATATTGTAATAATGTTTTATTAAATATTTTTTACTCAATTAATCTTCTTTTGATTAAATAAATGCTGCCTTGGTGAGCATAATAGACTTCTTTTAAATATATATATTTTAAATTACGTAATTCAAAATTTTGACCAGTTATTTTGGGATTTGCTAAAGACTACATTTAACAGTGCTATTAAATTATTAGAATGTTCCTGATTAACTTTGAGTTATTTTAAATTTAAGGTATTTATAAGTTATTAACTTTAAGTTATTTACACATTTCTAATACCACTGATGACAAATCTGGTACTAATACTGCGTATCCCCAGAATTAAGTGGTATAAATTGTATAATTGTTGTATAAATTACCTATAAATCACTTCTTAATCAAACCTGATGGCAAATAGACACTCCAACTGGCAGCTTTGGCATGTGAGTGGGAGTTAGTCAAATTCCTCTAAAGATGCTAATGTGCTCGGCCACCTCTGGACACCAACGCTGCGTTTCCCCTGTAATTGAAAAGAGACACCAAGTTATCTGTGATTGCAGGCCGACTACAGGAGCAGCCACTGAATGACGGTGGGCCGTGATAGGCCCTTTTTCTCGGGTTATCTAATTATCGGCTTGTAGAGTGTGCTTGCTTATATACATTCAGAAGAAACCCTGAAGCTTTAAAGAGGCACAAAGGTAAGAGCAGGAACATTTATGCTGCTGTTGTATCTAAATAATGAACCTTCAACTACTATTCTCAATAGATGGGTTTGCATTAATTTGAACATGTTTACACTACTGGGATAAAAAAAAAAAACTGTTCAATGATTCAAATGCCTGATCTATATTATATATTCATAAAAATATTACAATAAGTAAGCAGATAATTATCATGTTATGGTCAATAACCATTAAATGGACAATTAAAATTCTATACTATTTTATACTATTTAAGTTAGAAATAAAAAAATATATTTTTTTTTAATCATTTTAATTGCTACAAGAGAATAATGTACAGTCCAAAAAAACTAAATGTTAATTTTGACATTATTAGTGTTTTTAGATTAACTTCAGTAAGCAGTAGATTAAGAAAAGGTAAATATAAAAAATAGGGCAAATGATCACAAAAAAATGCTCAGTTAAATATTAAATACTGACTTACATGCAATAATACAGCATATTCAAAATTGACTGATACAAAAAAATTTAATATCTCTAATATAGTCCAATAACTAAGGAAGCTTGTTTCCACCACAGGATTAAAAAAATAAAAAAGATAATTGCAACAACTTTTTTCTTGCAATTGCAAGTTTATATCTCACAATCTCACAGTTATAAACTCATAATTGCGAGATAATATACTTTTTTCTCATAATTGAGTAATTCTGAGTTTGTATCTTATATTCCGAGAAAATAAAGTCAGAATTCTCAGAAATTGTGAGATATACAGGTGCAATTCCTATTTTTATTTTTTTATCCCATGGCAGAAACATGCTCCCATAGATAACTGATTATATTGTGCATCCATATTATAAAGCTATATGAACAAAAGGTGCATGTGCATCTGCAGTGATGTGCACAGCATCTATGTGAACAGGTGTTTCGTGGCCTGTTTATTTTAGTAAGGCTGGAACACTGCATTGACCATCAACCTTCACCAGCTACAGGAAACTCCCACTTAGCCGTTCACACAATTGTGGGTCAAGTCGAGCAATCAAACCCACGCACTTTCATTTCTATTTAATTACCAGCTACCACACTGCTGCGTACCACCTGCAAAGCAAAACATAAATACATAAATGAATTAATGAATAACACACCTGAAGTTTCCATCATTTTGAAACAAAAAACAGGGTGACCAATCAAATTCTATGTATTTAAGTTTACAATAACAGTGATTACGTAAACACTGCCCTGCTTGATTTCCTGTAAATTTCCTCACAGATCCGTTTACTGCAAACCAGTTTGCCAGCACTTGCTCCTTTTTAGTCACTTCCTCTGATCATGAAATGCAGACCATCATCTTGTGTTTTAGACACTGACTATCTGCTGCTCTCTTTGGTTTCTGCATCTTGTGTGATTGACACGAGGCAAGTTATTCCCTGGCGTCAGCTCACCAATGTCGTGTCAGAGGACCGGGCCGCTGAGACGAATCTCGGCTGTGGCAGCGGAGAGTGTCACACATCATGAGTTCATACTGCTGCCGACTAGAGCTGAGAGACTTCATTAACACTGGCACGCAACACAACCTCTTCATGACAGCATATGGGATCCAACCAAACACGAATACACTCTTTTCTAACAGGTTAACTCCACTAAAACACAAGGGAATAGTTCTTATGCAGCAATTTTTAGATATACAAAACCTTAAGCATTCAGAATTGCTCTTTTTTTGCAAATTTCTCTTCATGTGCAGTCTAATTCATCTGCCCTGCGGCATACATGGATTCTCACTCAGGTGAGCTGCTAAAAATGATAATAGAAATTCAGTTTGACCTAATATGGAAATCAGAGAATGAAAAGGTAATATCTTTCTCCCTACGAACCTCAAATATACCTTTTCAAAGCAGTGGCCCAGCGATCACTGGTTGTTGAATTGTGATGCTCATGTGGACGATGCAGGTTCGAATCAGACATGCAACATGGCCCAGTTACCAATTACTACTTGTTACTCTCTATTGTGCATGTCCAAAAAAAAAAAAGGAATAAAGTCTTACCTCTGTGGCAAACTGCTGCAGTCCCCCGATGTTGATGGGACCTTCCTCGGATGCATACAAGTTACACCCCCCGACACACAAGTCTGAGGTGGGACACACCATCCCACACGTCAAACCCAGTGGGTTGTCTGAGAGAATGGTCCGAGCGGCTCCATAATAATTCTGTGAACATCAACACAAAAATGTCTTACAAAGCCTAGCGAGCTACACATCTAGATCTATCATTTTTTTAGGAATCACACACAGACAGCTATTACGGCATTCCAAAAATTAGGCAGCAAAATAATGTTGCCTTTTTAGGCCAAATTCTATTTTTATTTGCATATACATACATATTTGTACATGCAAAAAATGTCAAAAAATATACATGTATATTTTATTAAGTATTTTAGTATATAGCTAAAATAGTTAAATCTAATTAAAAATAGAATATTTCATCCCATATGTGCACATCATGTTTTTCTTTTTATTTGTTTGTGCTTATTAGGAAAATGTCATTTGCTGAACAACGTATGTTCTTTTTAAAAATTTTCTTATGCTCACCCAAGCTGCATTTATTTGATCAAAAATACAGCAAAAAGTAAAATATGTAATATTATTACAATTTAAAATAACTGTTTTCTATTTGAATATATTTTAAGATGTAATTTATTTCTGTTATGCAAAGCTGAATTTTCAGCCGCCATTACTCCAATCTTCAGTGTCACATGATTAAACTGTCTATTTTTAATTAGATAGAACAATTCTAGCTATGTACTGTAGTATTACGTGAAATACACATTTAACTTTTTTTCAGTTTTGCTGCTTACTGTTTTTGTGGTAACCATGATACATTTTTTTTCAGGATGATTTGAAGAATTTCAAGAAGTTCAAAAGAACATAATTTATTTGAAATACATTTTTTGTAACATTATATACCGTATGTCTTTGCTGTCACTTTAAAAAAAATGCATTCTGGCTGAAAATAAAACAAAATAAAATAAAAATTATTTTATCTATAGCACACATGCACATACATTTTTTTTTTTTCAATTTATTATTCTATTTTTTTGTTCACTTATATATACATACAGTATGTGTATTTTATTCCCATCTTATTTTTATCACCTGTGTGTTGTTGTTGTTGTCTCTGTGTACTGGACGCTTGTGACACCAAAACAAATTCCTTGTACTGTATGTGCAAACATACTTGGCAATAAAGCTCTTTCTGACTTCTGGAAAAAAAGGCAACAAAAGCAACATGCAGCATCTTGCAATAGCAGTTTTCCGTTATCAATGCCATTGTATCCAGCCATGATTCATTTATTCTGAGAGCAAAAATCAAACAACAGGGAACATATAGTGCATAGTATTTGGCTGGTCATGTAATCGCAACAGTATCTCCCTGGCCCATTCCATCTGAAATAAAACAGCTTTTATTAGGCTACTGAAATGAGTGAAGTCACACTTTTCAAAAGCACTATTCATTTCTATTAGTGCATGCTATAAAAAACAAAAAATGCACCTTTAACACATCTAGTCATATACAAGCATCCAATACTGACATTGAAAGAAAACTCTGAGCAAAATCTTTTCATTCTCTTCCTTCTTTCGCTTGTCTAACAGGCCTATTCTGACAGTAATCACCCCCCTGACTGACACGTGCCTAGTTTTCAAAAAAAGCAGTCGACATCTCTCTTCTTCAGACAGCCTTGAATTAAGGCCAGAATGCTTCAATGGCACTCGCCAAACTCACAGAATGCACGGTATGACGGAAACCTTGACAGAACAACGGCGCAGCATAGAAAACACAGTGTTCTCAGCGACACGCATTATAGCTATTCTGCAAGGACTTTATTCAAATGCTGATTGTACAAGTCAGTTTTCCCGCTTCAAATGAATGACTGATATTCAGATAAACAGTTGCAATGCATCCATAATTGCCGCTGTAGTACAGCTTTAAAGCGCTCCCTCAAAAGTCAAACAAATGAGCACGAAAACTCATTATTCCTCGCGAATAATTCACAGCATCCAACAGCAGATCTCTTATTAAAAGCATAACTCAAAGTTCACCACCGCAGTTCAGCCTCGTTCTGCATTGGCTATAGATGTCACAATTATGTCTGTTACAACGGCAATGTATGTCATCTTGACGAAGAGCTCAGGTCTGACATCTTGTGTGATGTTGGCTTGGGTTTTAGTAGATGGAGACCAGCTGGGACTGCCAATGCAAAAATGTTGTGTTTCTTAAGCTGAGTCAACATGAAACGCAAGCCATTTATTTCCATAAAGTGGTGTATTTTTGAGATGTTACGTAATCCATCGGGGACACAATGTAATCCAGCACAATGTAATCCATCTGGATCATGAAAAGTGGGCGTTTCATACCTTAATGTGTGAGTTTGTGGTGGATTGTGGAGAAATGCTGTCCTCTAAAACACTTTTGAGAAAGCTTTTTGACCAAAACGTGGAAGCTGAAGGTCATTTTTTTACCCTTGAGATCATCTTGACAAATCCCAATTTATTTTTCAAACCAATCTTGTTACTGTAAAACCAATTACTGTTCATTATTGGCAAGCTTTTAGAAATGCTAAATTTACTACAACTCACTCCCATTCAAGACAGTGTTCAGATTGACAGGTTCGGGTGTTAAATCTAGATTCTGAAGCAAAATAACAGAAGCGCTGTTGTATGAAGCAAAGTATGAAAATACATACATGTAAATGCAGAAAAAATGAGATTGAGATTGAGTTTCTTAATGTAATTCAACTCGTGATGAACTTTAGATAAAATGGCATGCATATATAAAATGTGACTTATGTAGCGCAATTTGAAATCCCTGGAGTCTGGAAAAAAATCTAATCAACCCAAGAGCACACTACAGATGAAAAGAAGAAGAAAAAGCACAGCAAGAAAAATATGACATTTCATATTCATACAATATGAAATGTAAACATTAATACCATAATAAAAATGCCTTCCTCTACAGAAATATATTTGATACGAAAGTTACATATCTTATATTAGGAACCTGTTGTACAACGTAAGGGAAATATATGAAATGTGATGAGTTAGATAATAGCTCTTTCTGTTTGATTTGCTGTTTGTTATTGGGCTGATGTGTCCCTGATCTTGTTGGCTTGCTATATCCGAGATGCTAAAAAGAAATGATGATACCCAGAAATAGACGCCCATGAAATGAAAATCAAAGTTTTGTGGCTTTTAGTCCATGTCTGTTAGCTTTGAGGCCATATATATATGCGAGTGTATTCTTAAACATTTTAGCTTTTAGTGAATATATGCATTTAAAATAATCTCTCTTCCTGGAAAATGGACCAAAAATACAGATGACTCATCCTGTGTGCGCAGGGGTATACTAGGACTTTCTGTCCAATAAAACGCTCTTGAAAATGGCAATGTCCCAGCTTCCTAATCTGACCTGCAACTGACTAGCAATAGAAAGTAGCTAAACATGTTCTTGGCAGACTACAGTATGATGGAAACTAAAGGCTATTATAGTGAAAATGTAAAAAAATTTAATAAAATTAATAATAATTAAATAATTAAATTTAATATAATTAAAAAATCATAATGGTTGTTTAAAAATATAAATAATTATATGAATATAACATATAATTATATAAAAAACACATATGTGTGTGTGTATACATATATATATATATATATGTATACACACACACACACACATATATACAGTGCTATATACACAGTACACACACATATACTATGTAAACAAAAACTTTTATTTTGTATGCGATTAAGCGCGATTATTCGTTTGACAGAACTAGTATGTATGTATAATAACTTTAAAGAAATAAATAAAAACCTAATAGCCATTGGCTACTTTAAGAAAATTGTGTATGTAAAATCATTTCAAAGTTTTTCATATTTGTTCAAATTAAAGTTAACATGAAACATGAAATGCCATTAAAATCATATGCTTTGGAAAGTTATGTCAGCATTTTATATAAAAAATTGTGTAAAAGTGTTATTATAGGTTATTATAGTTTTTATAGTTCTTATAGTAAGACATTTTCATTTTCAAACATTTTTCATTATTAAATTATTTTATTTCTGCTAGTTGCCAAGGCAACATTTCTCATTTTCATTTAGTTCAACTTGATCTACTAAATACTTGATAACTAAAACGAAAATGTATATATATATATATATATATATACAACTTTAACATAAATATTACTCTTTTATAAATGTGTAATATTAATTAATAATAAATTAATATTAACACTTTAAATATTAACAGTATCTCAATAATACGCCTAAGTGACATCACTGTAAAGGAAAGTTGTTTCAAGACAGAACAAGATCTCACATTTTGATGAAACATTACAAAGTCAAACCTTTACTTCAATTGAGCACAATGAGACCAGAAACATTTATTAAGAAAGTCAATGCGCAGATACACAACATACCTTGTTTGCAATACTGCTAATGTAGCCATTTATGTTCAGATTGGTCGGGCAGCTTTTCTGACATGGTGCATCTGCACACTTCAAACATCTGTAAGAAAACAAGACTGTGCTTGAATTACCCCACATGCAATGCAAAGTAAAGTTATTTACAGTAAGAACAGAGAACTTTGCGTCGTCACCCCACTGGAACGGCACATTCCAGCCAATTACAAACACTCTACGGCACCCAGAGGAAATCAATCCCCAGCTTTTGTGCCGGAGGACTTTCTCCCAGCAACTACACCTCAAAAGACGCCATATTGATGACACACCGGTTTTGAATGACAAATAGGATAATTTGGAGCCGCCCAATTAAATATTCATGCCCAATCAGGATGGCTGTGGTACGTTTGGCCCCTGGATGTGAATGGCGTGTGACAGGAGGCAGCCGACTGGGGCTGCTGGGAAGGAAGGAAGGAAGGGAGGGAGGGCTGCTACTGTAGCTCACAATCATTATTTCGCATTTTACAAACACACAGCTGTTTAAAAATTCACCACGCTAATGACTTCAGATGATGTATCAGTAATTTGGAAGAGTGCTTTTTCCTTTACAATGAGCACAAAGGGGGGAGGATGTACAACTGGAACAGAGCAAGGAAAAGGAGACGTGGAAACAAGGGAGGAAAAAAAGACTCCCCGTTGCCTTCGATGTGAAATGCACAACTTGTGCCACGAACGCGGACACAAAAAGTGCACAAAACACACCGGTAAGAGCAGAGCAAACACTCAAGTAACACCTGCACGTTTAGATTCACACGCAGCTGGATGCCCATAATAATCCCGTCTCACAATTCTCAAAGCTCGCCGCGGACTAGAGTGCACAAGGCTGCCATTAATACCACTTACCGTGGTGACAGTGGAGTAATTACTGTAGTGTGGTGGCCAGGTACCGGCGCCACAAAGGACCACACAGTGCTACCGTCCTGCTTTTATAAACCAGGGTGGCTGATCATAATGTGACATTAGTTTTGACCTGCTTTTCTTTATTTGATCATAAATTATCCTTAGCCTAAAGGATTAGGGATATTGCAGGAGTCTTGGCCCGGGAGAGGGTCTGGAGTTGGCTTTGACGCTGAGATGAAGGCTAATCTCGGAGGATGCTGGGCCTATCACACTTCTGATCTGCGCAGAGATGATTAATACAGAGAGGGGACACCGAGCAGCTGCGGGAAGACATAAAGCCACACTCGCATAAATCTCTCTCTCGCTGGCGTTCCTCTCCGCTTATTGTGAAGGAAAAAGCACTCTTCCAAATCAGCGATATATCTATCATCTGTTATGATCATCGGCGTGTGTATCTTACAAAATATGCATGTAGAACATGAAACGGTGCAGTGGTTCATATTCAGCTTCCTGTACGATGAATACATTAGCACAAATGTATTAAAGCTCTGGCTCTTTGAAAATACAATAGTTCTATATAATGTAGATATACTTTAAAGTTCAAAACTAACCATAGACCATTAATGAATCAAATACATGGTAGTGATTATGACTAGTAATAGGTTGAAATATCATCCAGGCCAATTAACCAAATGACATATATTTTGCTGAATAAAAACAACATTTATTAATACACATTTTAAAAATTTTACAAAACAAAATTAAGAAAAATTTAAAATGTTTGTCTTTATAACCGTTCAACCAATTGTATTATTTGTTTTATATTTGTATTTTATTTTAGTACTTTTTAGTATTTTAGAATTTTTAACCACTTTTTTATTTTGTTTTTCATAACTATAGCAACTGTTCTCAATTTAAATGTATGTTAATATAATTTATTATGCTTTTTACTATTTACTATTTAAATACATTTTTTATCATTTATTCATGTGATGGCAAAGCTGAATTTTCAGCATTATTACCCCAGTCTTCAGTGTCACATGATCCTTTAGAAATCAATATGATGATCTGGTCCTCAAGAAATGTTTGTTATTATTATCAATGTAGAAAACATTTGCTTAACATTTTTGTGGAAACCGTGATATATTTTTTTCAGGATTATTTATTTATTTATTTTGATGAATAGAAATAAAGAGAATGGCTTTTATTTAAATTTTCATTTCAAATGAAAGTATTAATTTCGTTGAAGACCTTGTAAAATCAAAACTGAAGTTTTGTGGCTTTTAGTCCATGTATGAGATGATTCACAATGTCTTCCAAAAAATCTTGACGACATTGCACACTACATAGATTTTTGTCCCATCTAATACTCTCTAAAATGTTTCTAATGGTGTGTGCACACCAAAAGTGAATTTAATTATTTGCGTGATTAGATTACAAAGTCAATATTTGCGCAATATTCACCTCAATTGCGTCTTCCTCGCAAGTTGAAAAATTTCAACTCGAGCTGAAAATTTGCATGACATGTCGCGCAAGCCAGTCAGCAAAGAGCTTATTGACACGTCCGATTGCATCAGAAAATGTTTATTGTTTTTATGTTTTTATTCACCCGAGTGACGCGAAAAACATCTCGTGAGTAACTTAGAGCGAGTAACGTGATCCAAATTTTCGCTTCGCTTTTGGT